GGTAGACCCTGGTTCCTGCCAACCCAGTAGAGAAAGAAGGAGGGAGCAAGACACAGGCTGACTGGCAGCGCAAGACTGGAGTCTCCCTTGGTACCCGCTGCCTCCCCCTTGGGACATTGGCCCTTTGAGCCATGGAACTCCCCGCCCCATGCACCTGCGCTCCCTAAGGCTGAAGCCCCTCAATCCGCACTGACTCACCTGCCCGCCTACCTGCCCTGACCCCATCCCCGACCCCAGCCTCGACTCACTCTCAGCGGTCAAAGGAAGAAACCCACAGCTCTACAGGCGGTGTCTCCAACAGCAAAACAGTGGTTCCACAGGAAAGAACCTCATTTCAGCAACACAGAGGCCAGGATGGCGCGGGGCGGGGCTACAGGCTTGTGGCTGGGACTTTGGGCGTGGCCTGGCCGTAGGGGAGGAGCCAGACCTTCTGGTCTAGCCCCTAGGAAGCCAGATAGAGGAACTGTCAAGAAACACTTGGGCCAGAGGTGGGTTTTTGGGGTTTTTTTTGTTTGTTTGTTTGGTTGGTTTTTGGTGCTGGGAATCAAACCCAGGGTCTTGTGCATGCAAGGCAAGCATTCTACCAACTGAGCTATATCCCCAGCCCCATCCATTAAGAAGATGAAAGGTCATTTGCAGGAAAGTGAATGGAATTGGTCATCATCATGTCTAAAGAAGTTACACTCAGAAAGACAAGTGTTGATGTTCTTTCCTGTGGACTCTGAGCTCCGGGGAAGACAACATGAAAGATAGGGGGACCTTCAGGGAAGGAGAAGACTACCACCGTTACAGTGAAGGGGTTACAGAAGATAATAGCGAAGGAGGATGTGATCAAAGCATGTTATATGCATATATGGAAATCTCATAGTGAATCTCATTATTTGGCATAATTAATATGAATTAGTGATTATAATTATTGTAAACACAATATTTTGAAACTATTTCTAATAATTGAATACCTCTTTTAATGATTCCTTCATGAAATAATATCTACAAGACTTCCTTAGTAACTAATCATAGATTATTCATAATTTATAATCATTCATGAGATTTCATTTTTTCAAATCATTTAACCAATTGAGAGAATAAATCTTAGACCATGCTAAATATGTTTATAGCAGATATTTTTTTCATCACTGGGCTAGAGTACTTTGTTAGAATGCAAAAGGCTTCACATTCCATCACCAGCACTACAAATCATTAAAAAAAATTACAACTAGAAATATCGAGAAAACTAAGAATACATAATTTTATTTTAGAAAAAGTCAATCAAATATCCAGATACCTCCCACCCCCAAAATTAAATTGACTCTTCACTAGAGCCAAAATTTTATCCTATCCAGAATTTACTCCTATCTCTGTGTTCTTTCCCTCATTTTTGAGTTTGAAAAAGTCTTATGGTTACACCTAAAAGGCTGTTGCATGTATTAGTGTAGTGTGATGTACTTTAGTCTTGTTTTTAAAATGCATTTTTATAGGGGTAAAAATATCATTGGGACAGCTCTCTTGAAAAATAGGTTATATTAGAAAAACCCCACATGGGATAAGATTCTTTGAAGAAAGTTCAAACAACCAATCTTCATTTATAGTAATGCCATGAGATTTTACAGAAAACTGTCAACTTAAAAGGCAGCTTCAAAATGCATGAAGTATGATATGTCAAGAACTATGTAAGGTTTTGAACAACCAATAATAAAAATTTAAAAAAAAATTTAAAAAGGCAGTTTCAGGGATGGGAGTGTAGCCCAGTGACAGAGTATGAAGTCCTGGTCCAGTCCCCAACACTCCTCCAAATATCAATATATGATCTTTAATGTGAATAAAATGTTTTCTAATATGATTTTTTATTTGTGTTTTGGTGGAAGGTGGGCAAGGGAAACGACTTTTTTTTTTTTTTTTAAGATTTCAGTAACTGGATTCCTTAAGTCCCTCTCCCATCTGTGCAGGCATCACCCTGAGTCCCAAGGCTCCAAAGCTTTGACTTCAGTGGTATCCAGGCCACGTTTACTTACACCAGTGCTGCACCTTCAGAGGCCAGAAGCTCCAGCTACAGCAGAGGGTGAAGTACTCTGTGAAGAGCATGGTGATGCCACCAACCCCGCTCTTCCTCACCGTGGTGTTGCAGCAGATCCAGCCTTTCCACCCAGCTCCCAAGAGTCTCCTTGGAGGAAAGATGGAGGTGGTAAGCAGGGTTGGGGGTTACAAGTTGCTTAAACCAGCCAAACTTCTTCCTAACAAAGGAATTTGTGAGAAGCTTTGCCCCTGAGGACTGGAGAGCTGAGGCCTCTGGGCCATTGAGTTCCAATATTGAGGCTTCCCTGGCAACACCCCTAGTCCAAGAGAACCAGAATAGAGCTCTGGAAACCATTCCAACCCCATGAAGCTGGGAAGGGTCTTTCTGTCAGCAGCACCAATATGACTGACTGAGAAAATCACATTTTAGAAAAGAGATACATGCAGAGACTGCGGCACCCACTGCACAATTCTGGGACTGAGAGCCAGAGCTCGACTCTTAATCTCCACTAATAACTTCACATCAGGCACTTGCTGAAGACTGCAGAATGGTGCTTTCACAGTCAGAGAAGCAAGACTTTGGTTGCTTGATTGACAAGCAGAAACTCCCTGTAAGCTGCCTCCTGTGGAGCTAACAGATTTAAAAGAGGACCTGTATCTTCCAGCTGAAGCGCCAGTGTTGAAGTGCTCAGAGCCAAGGCTCAATGGTGCCAGCTCCTGCATCTCCATGGCAGACACACTTTCCTCTGCATTCTCTTGGCTTCCACACGCTTCTGATCCAAGGCCAAGTCCTTGGTTCTGGTTCTCCCTGACTTGAATTCCAACAAACCGACTAAACTAATAGTTTTGTAAATACATATTTAAAATGTTTTACTATAAAATCAATTTGATTATGGGTGCTATGCCAAATCTCCCTGAAATTGTTTATATAGTACACAAAAAAGTTCCATATTCATATTACTTTTTCATTGGTTCTTTTCAGTTATCCATGACAATAGGATTCATTTTGACCTAATTATGAAAGCAATGGAATATAATTTGTTCTAATTCAGTCCCCAGTACTTCCTCTTCTCCTCTCCTCCTCCCTCTCCATGTTCCCTTCCTTCTACTTGACTGATATTTCTGCTATTTGTTTATAGTTTTTTTTGTAATTAGTGTCCTGTGCATGTGCATGATAATGAGATTCACTATCACTAATGATAGTCACACATGTACACAGGAAAGCTAGGTCAGATTCACTGCACTGTCTTTCCCTATCCCAGCCCTCCCCTTTAGGCCCCTTTGTCTACTCCACTGCTCTTTCTTCTATTCTTTTTTTATCCTCTCCCCTCTTTATTTTGGATTACCTTCTGCATATCAGAGAAAATACTCTACCTCTAACTTTTGGGGACTGGCTTATTTCCATTGGTATGATAGTGTCCAGTTCCATCAATTAACTGATAAATGCCATAAAGTCATTCTTCTTTATGGCTGAATAAAAATCTGTTGTGTATATATGCCATGTTTTCTTTATCCATTCATCTGTTGAAGGGCATCTAGGTTGGCTCCATACCTTGGCTATTGTGAATTGTGTTGCTATAAACATGGATGTGGCTGCCTCCTGTAGGATTCTGATTTTAAATTTTTTGGATATATACTGATGAGTAGGGTAACTGGGTCATATGAAGGTTCCATTTTTAA